TGGTAGCAGTTCTTGTTGCCACACTGGATGCAGGCGCCCATTCTCTGCCGACAGATGTAGCAGGTCAGTTTCCACCGAGTCTTGGGGACCTTTTCGACATCCATGACAGGCTCCATGAAGGTGTGATTTCCCAGAGAAACTTCGGGAATCCACATGGCACAGAGTAGATGGGCCCATTTCGACGAGTTTGTCTGCTTGAAGGCGCCGTCCGTGTTGGGACAAAAGATGCACGTCTATATGAGGAGAAAGGAGAATGGTTAGAGAAGACAGTTGCAGAGGAGTGGGAGTTGATAAGGGGGAGAAGGAATCTTACAGGAATTCCGCGACCGCACAGCTGGCATTTCCGGCAAAGCCACTGACCCTCCGGAATAAAAGGCACACCATAGCATTCTTGGTGCACCGCGAGGTTGCAGCCGTCGCAGAAGACAATGGCGTTTGTGTTTTCGCAATCTCCATCGTCGCATATGGCGCACTTGCTGTCCGGCTCCTCGCCGCCGTGGGTCTCGCCGTTGACGGCCACGGCTGAGCTGGACCGCGGCCGATGCGTCTGCGGCGGCTTGGGGTTGGGCTTTGGTATTCGCCTCTCCAGAGCGTGCCACTCCTTTTCGATCTTGGTCATTGTGATTTCAAAGATCTCGCGCGTGATGGCCTGCAGCTCGTTGGCCTTGCGTTGGGCGTTGTACTGCTCAAGCCACATGTCGTCTTGCTCATCCATGTCGTACTCGACACGGCCAAGCCTGGACTGGTGCCCGTGGTCATCGCCCGCAGCCACCGAAAACTGCTCAAATTCGTCATCTGCATTGCTGTCGGTGGCCTTGATGAGCGTGCGCTCTGATCGGATAAAGTTGTCGCTCTCCTGGTAGCCAACATTGCTCATGGCCTTATCAACGTAGCGTGCCTGGCCGAAGGTCTTGCTTTCGAACAGCTCGATGCGGTTGGTCTTTCTATATGAGGGCAATTTGAGGTCGAGCCGCTCCTTTGGTGTCTGGTTCTGGATGGGGAGGATCTTGGGGGTTTTGGGAGTGGGAGCAAAGTCGAGGGGTCGGACGTTGTAGAAGCTGACGACTTCGCGGGTAGATCGGCGAGGGCGTCTCGATGATGGGGTTCCGGCAGCTGAGTCGTCGACGTCGCCTTCTGGGCCGCGCGCCGACGCCTGCGGGTTTGGCGTGTTGCCCGTCGAGGCCGGGTTGACAGGCTTGGACGGGGTCATGGAGTCCAGATGCGGCGTGGCAGGCAGCGGCGCATCCACCGCAGGCATGTTGGGCGCCTCGTGCACCGCGACCCCGTCGACGTCGTGGGCGGAAAAGATGACAAAGGGCAGGTCTATATCAAGGTTTGGATGGAACTCCTCCCAGCTGCGCTCCTCGCGGGGCTTGTAGTCTTCGGCCTGCTTGACGGAGGCGGCCATGGCGGCGGCGGATCCCCATCGCATCTCATCGCTGTCTTCGTTGGCAGCAGCCCGGGCTCGTGTGCTCCGCTCCCGCCGCGGGGGCATGGAGGGCGAGGCGCCGTTGAGGGCAAGCCGGGCGGTCGAGGTTCGGGATCGCGGGCCCGTCGTGGTGCGGGTCGTCTCGGGCGTCTGGATGGAGTCGGCGTCGAGATACCGGCCGCCGCCTCCAGGGCCGCCGGGGACGTATCTACGGCGCTTCTGGGGAGGCTCCGAGGCGGCCGCAGCGGCGAGGGAGGCCTGTCTGGCGGCACGCGCAGCGTTGGTCGAGCCAGGCGGACGCCCTCTGCGCCGGCCGGTGGGCGTTCGACGGGGGGTGGGAGAGGCCGGAGCCATGACGGCCAGGGGAACCAGCGGTGTCTATTACGGCGGCGATGGTCTGCAGCAGACGGGTCGAGGAGGCGAGGCTGCGAGGCGTCAGAGGGGTGATGTCGAGCCTCAGTTCGAGAGGCTGGCTGGCAACGAGGCTGGCGCTCGAGGGCGCGCGCGCACAGGGACGGGGACGAGACGGCGGGTGCGAGGGATCCTCGGGGCTTCAGGCGGCCCCGTAGCAGCAGCTCGAGCGGTCCGGTTCATGTGCAGGGCGAAAGGGGCCCTCGTGTGGCGAGCAGGCGATGGGCGATGGCAGCATCAGGGGACGACGTGACGTCCAAACTCGGCGGGCGGCTCTGCACCTCACGCTGGAATCTCGGGGGGGCGAGCGAAAAACAGACAACGCGTGAAGGCCTGCGCACGGGCCACCTGCGGGCATCTCGAACGGTCCTAGTCCGATCGGGGCCGCGCTTGGGCGCTTTGGGCCTAGCCGCTGCAGCCTTGCCGAGTTGCGTGCCTGGGCGATGCGCTAAGCCGACTGAAGACGAGTGTTGAACTGAATGCATTAATCATGAGGAGAAGACTATCTAATAGACGATAGGTTCATGACATGTCTTCGGTGGGAAAATGAGGGCAAGTTGACAGAGTACAAAGACGCTCTGAGTAGGTAGATCAAATGCATGGCATGTTGAAGCGGAGACCGGCACTCGCCCAGCAATCTGCATCCGCCGCGGCCATGCAGTGTAAGTGTGCATTTACTCCGTACCTTGCGGCAATCAACCGCATCTCGGTCCCCATCCACACACACACGCCCAGCCGCAGGTCCAGCGGGCGCCGTAAGAATGGCTTCATGGCGGAAATGGTCATCAGTCACATAATGAATACCATCTATCTCGCAAATAAGGGAATAAGGAGGAGGATGCCACGCCAATGTTCAATTCGTCCTCGTCTCATCACAACTTCAAATCCTCCTCCAACTTTGTGTCTTCTCCTTCACCTCTACCTTGGGTTCTCCAACAGCCCGCATCAACCTGCCTCCCCCACATCCCCAACCGCGCCGCAAGCACTCTAACCATAACCCCAAAGCAACCAGACCACCAGTTCCTCTTCCCGGCACTCGGCTTTGCTCCCATTCAATCCCAACCACCCCCGGGAAGCACAGACTGACAGAACAGCAAA